AATTATAATGTCAATAATAACCATTACTTTACATTTAAGTTATATTGAATGAAAATTCACGAGCAATAAGTAATAGTAATAATACATGTAATATATAATTTATCTACTAATAATATGTTTTCGAATTATTAGATGCAGGTATTATATTATATGGAAGTATTATAATTTATTACTATAATAACTTTATTAATATAACAATAAAATATTGTGTTATAAATTTGCAAGATTTTATAAAAATGGAAACCAAAATTTTATTATTACAATTCTTTATCAAATTTTTGCATATGAATTGCTGCACATTTGTCGATATAATACTGTAGCGACATCTTGTGTATTCATCAGTGAGATATACATTTACAGTTGACTCTGAGAAGTATTTCATGACATCAAGTCTTTGAAAAAAGTAATAGGTGGTATCAAACGAACTAAAGGAAAATTGGTTTTCCATTTTTTTCTCCTTAAATACGATCATCTTGAATGTTTATAAAATTTTAAACGTGCACAATTTATTGCTATTGAATACATAGTCATGCTTACATATTTTTCATTTTTTTAACGATATTAAACAATTATTCTTTTATTTCATATTTCGTCGTTTAAACAAAAATAGCAATATATAGTGCTTACGTTTTATGACGACACATACGAAAAAGGATACTAATTTTTCTGTCAATAAACGTAAAAATGGATGTTAAGCGAAAACGTTCACGAAGAAAAACTAATAAAAATAAAACAGACAGTGGCACAGAAGATAAAGTTATAGAATGGAGTGATGCAGATAAAAGGACTCTATTAGAAGCACTCAAAAAACATGGTTCCAACAATATCACTGCTATATCAAAGATGTTGCCATGCATATCTCCTGAAAATATTAAGTTAAAGATATCTGAATATTCAACTATGGCAAACAACTTATATGAAACTGAAATATTAGATGAATGGTTAAACTCCGGTATATACAAACCTGGTGACAGTTTAATACCGGAAGCATTATTATTTATATATTTATTTGAAGATCATCCAACAACAGAGGCAGATGGATATGATTTCAGGTATACATTATACTATTTAATTTCTTTTATTATTTATTTTTATTTGTACAAACTGATATGTTCATAATGTTAATAACATTATTTATTTTTCTTTAGAGCAATATATAAATTTCTTTATCGTTCATGTTTCGAACAACCGTCGCATCTTGATCTATCAGAAAAAGATTTAAATTTACTTTATTATGCATTGTATAAAGTACAAAATAAAGTGTGGCCAAACTACCGAAAAGAAATTTGGGAGTACGTTGGAAAAATTTATAACAAAAAGAACATTAAGAAAGTGTATCCAGGAAAGACCACAGATTCCTTATAATGTTCAAGCTTTAATTTACACAGTTATATACATTTGCATTGTTTAATACTTTTTTTATTGTAAGAAAAGTATATATTTGTATAGAGAATTTTTTAAATATTTAATTAAACTTAACAACTGTATTTTGTTTCTTATAATAATAGAACAATGAGCATCGAAAATATGTATATAAATGGAGTAACTAAGATTAATTTTTGCAGTGTGTACACTTTTTTTATCAAAAATAAAACAGATAATTTTTTTGTTTGTATACAGTTTAATCAAGAGAAATATCAATTTCAAATTATAATAATGTATTAATATTTTAAGGCATAAAATTATTGTACATGACTTTCTAACTTCGTTTAAATTTGTTTTCCTTATTTAAAATACAAATAGACTGTACGACTCGATTAAGATATTAAATTAAAAGTAAATTCTATTGACATTCTTGTAATAACTGCAGATTTGCAAATACATTAGTATCATAAGTATATTAATCAATAAATGTCATTGACAATTATATAAAATTAATTTCTATAATACGCATTTTAAAGTAAAATAGTTATACTTTCTTGTATTAAAAGTGTATAATATTGTACAATGTACCTGCTACATTTTTAATATACAAATTATTTTAATTGTATAAAAGTCATCGATGAAATTTAATAATAGTTTGAATCTCTAATAAATGCAAAGATAAATAAACGTTAAAGCAGGCACACACTTTTGCCTTTATGTGCATTAACAGTAAAATTTAAATTTGTTAACAGTACTTACATATTCTTATTGAAACATACAATACATGTTTACTCGTTACTTACAAATAAACATCTATTTTTTTTTTAAGAATATACTACTTACACACACTTTTTGCAACAAAATGGTAGAGTATGAAATAAAAATAATTTCATTTTTATTACTATTATAGTACTTTATATAGATTCAAAATCTATAAGAAACCATTTAATGATCTTGAATTTTGATGAGAATTACCTAATTTCATAGTAATAATAATTAATTTTTTAATATCTCCCATGCGTCGTCTTCTAATTTTGAATCCCAATTTGGTATATTGTTATCAGTACCAAAGTTGATTAAAGCTTCTTCTTTAACTTTGTCTTTTGATTTCTTTACAGTTGATTTAATATCTGTCACTTTCTCCTTGCTGAGTTTTGCATCATTACCCCAATCCCATTCACACACAGAATTTGTGGTTGACGTGTTAGTTCTAAAGTGAAAAGAAATGTTATATAATTAATTTAGTTTTTGAAGCATTTAAATAACAGATTCTGCAAATCTAACAAATAATTTGTTAATGTACTTTGACTGTGACGTTTTCATTAAAGACGTTTTTTCCGTAGAATAAGATTCAACTTCGCTGTTCTGGTATCTGGCAGAAGAACTTTGATAATTTTCTTTTGAATTATATTGATTTTGTTCCATTGAATTTGTTCCACCAATATCGCCCCATCCTCTTCTTCCCAAATCTCCAACCTGTATCATAAATAAAAACAATGTATTCATTAACTTATCAATCTTAAAATGAAGTGGTATGGTACTGAAAAAGGTTAAAGAAATTGAATCATATCTTTTTAACTATCTACCTTTGCAGCTAAATTATTAACTTGCGCTCCAACGTCTTCCAATAAAGTACCATCACGGACCTAATAAAAACGAAATAAAACAACTAAAAAATGAAAAAAATAATTGAAAAATACTCTTACATAATATACTGCATTTCTAAAACTGACATTACTATGAAAATGCAAATTAACAAATATAACAAATTTATAATAAACGAGCATGCTATTGTAATTTTATTAGTACTTCCACTACTGCTATTACAAATATATGACACTTGAATATTATTCATTAGATGCAAATATCGCAGATGGACGAAAAACGTATATAACATGTACATATGTTAAATAAAATAAATAAAAAAAGGGTTTCTATGCATCACCATTAAAAATGTAATGATAGTTCGTGAACATTGTTTTTTAATAATTCGCTTAACTTAAAATATAATTAACAGCCAGGATGCCAATATTGCTCTATTGTGATATATTATGAGCAATTTTCTACTTAGATGCAAGGAATGCGAAGGAAGAATTAATTGTCTATATACTATAAAATAATTTAACAATATGTTCAAAATGTATACATCCATTTGTATACTGTTATTAAAATTTTATTTGTGTACCTTTTGTGTTGCTAATTCTCCAATTCTAATAGCATTTTCTGTAGCTTTGCTTGCTATTTTTGTGGCAGATGAAGAAAATATTGACCATCCCTGAAATTTTAGATATTAATTACAAGTTGTGTATACATATGTGTCTACAAATAGAACGCAATAATAATATTTTAATTCTTACACTTGCTAAAGAAGATACTGCAGTATCAAAAAATTCTTGTGATGTACTTCTAGGTGGTGGATCCATTTGATAACCAAATCCTCCATATTTACCACCTTGATTAGGTGGAACATTCCTGTAAAAACATATACGAGTATATATGTTATTACTGCATCATAAATATCATAATTATATTTGTAATTAATATAAATGTAATATGTATGACATACAGTAGTACCTCAATTTACAAACTTAATTCGTTTCAGTCAGAAGTTTGAATCTTGAAACTCAGTTTTCCTTTATATTATATCTTGGGAGTACAAAAGCATTACAGTTTGTTTCTCAAAATTAAGTTTGTATCTAAAGGAATCAAAATGAAATACGAAAAAAATTCATATGTTGAAAAGTTTGTATGTAGAACAGATTGTAAGTTGAGATACCACTGTAATTTGAATTATATATTTATATAATTAATACTACTTACTCTGGACGAGTAGCATTTTCACTTTGTTTTCTAGCAAAAAAAGCTTCAGTTTGAGCCTTATAACCACTTGAATCAGAATTTTGATACGAAGAGGGCATATCGCTTTGATAATATGAATAATCTTGTTGATTTGTAGAATATGATGTAGGTTCGAAATCTTTAGCTATGGAAGTAGTTGGACTCCATTTTTCACCATGGGCTAATGTTGTAATCTAATAATTACATTTATAATTATTTGTGTAAAATTGACTTTAATTATGTCTACCTTGATAAGCTCTATAAAGCACATTTACCTTGTCTCTATACAATGCTGCTGCTTTGGTGTTATATTTTTGTGTTATAGACATATTCTTATCCCAATCTGGTTGCGATTCAAAAAATTCTCTAGCATTTTTGTTTCCGCCAACTTTCATTTTTTCTAATTCCAAATCTTTCCATTTATCCATAGAAATAGAGCGAACAAATGATAAATGAACACCAAGTCCTCTATGCTTGCCTGAACATTCTAAACAGATCCATATACCATACGTAACAGATACCCATTGAGGATTATGTATACCACATTCAAAACATCTCTGTAAAAAAATAAGATATGGTAAAATGAACATATGGTAAGACATTCAAAAAAATAAATGAATAAATTACATTATTTTCGTCTTTAGGTTTTAATTCACTTAAAACTCTTCGAGTTCGCGGACTGGCCATAATTGTTGTCACTGAGATTAAGTCAAGTCTAATATGTTTATTATCCAAATTAAAGGTCCACCCTGCTGCACTTTCTGCTTTCTGTTTCTTAATGTTTCATTATTCCCAATTTTTATACAGATAACGACAAATAACAGAAACAGTCAACCACTTTTGTTAAATACCAATTGACTGGTATTTATTTTAAATTTTACTTTATAGAAAAGAATAAATGTATTATACATGTACAATAAAATTAAATATCGTCACCAATTCTGGTGAAGGGATCATTTCATGGGATATTTCATAGATGTAGGAAGACCATCATGCAACAACTAAAAATTTAAGTACACGTACTTCTACACTTTACCGATGTGCGGTGCTGCACTCTAACAGCATATTTGTTCTTGTTTCCAAGTACGTTAAAATTATATCTATATATAAAATGATAATAAATCTTCACAAAAAATAAAGGGAATAAGTAGAAGAAAATTAATGAAAATTATTATATATTTTAGTCGATAGATATTAATTTGTTTCTTATTTTTAATATAAAAATTTAGTTATTATTGACTTCTGTTTAATGAAAAATACATTGTTATTTAAATATATCTAAAACAGAGGTGTCTAATTTACTCCCCTCGTACTAGTAACTCGAAAATAGCGTTCCTCCATTACCTCACTGAAAAAGCTGCTCAAGGCTGCGATGCAGCAGTTCTATGTGTGTTCAATACAACAGGTAAAAGTAGGAATGAAGAGGACAACTTGTGAGGAGAGTATCACTAGAGTATCTGCAGGCACCAATTTAAACACCCTTAATGTAAAACATTCTGATCATATATAAAATTAGAATAATATAAAAGAACTTTCGTTTCATATAAGAAATACTAAATTCACTTCATTATTTATTTTTACTGCTGCTTATAGTAATATTGTTTGTCCAAAATCATTAAATCTGTTTTTTAACAGTTTGAAGATAAATAGATAAACTTGCTATGTTTCTACCAATCGAATAAGAATCCTGGCCTCTCATGTAAACGAGACTTGTGTAGTTAATAGAACGCATGCGCAACCCCACCTACTGTTCATGACAAATGCAACTTTTACTTCCGGTTGAGTTTGACCTCTGTACAAGGTTTTTTGGGTTTAGCAGTATTCTTGCGTGTGCTTCTGTTATCCTACGTCATCCGTAATTTTTCTCAGCTGCACTTGCACTTTGCAATTCTATATCTCCCGGGGATATATTTTGTTTGTCGTATGTCCATCCAGAATCTCAACACATTCGGCAAGTATTATATTTTCTAGTTCCGAGCTGATCATATTCAAGAAGATAGTTTTGTCAAAATGGCGACGGCGTCTTTTGCTTGCATCATAGTACGCAATCAATTAATATTCCGCGTCAATTTTCCGTTCATCTCTCTCATGTAACAGCTTTTGCCAAGAATATTATTGTTTAACTATATGGTTAAAGAGATTTTAATGTATAATAAATTGCTTTTTTTCTTTTTTTCTAGACCCCTTTGCAGATGCAATCAAGGGTTCAGATGATGATGTCCAAGACGGTCTCGTGCATATAAGGATCCAGCAACGGAATGGTCGTAAGACCTTAACCACGGTGCAAGGGCTTTCATCTGAATATGACTTGAAGAAAATAGTGAGAGCATGTAAAAAGGTAATTATAAATTTTTAAAAATTCGATACGCATTTTGATGAGTAAATCTTTTGTCAGTGTCACGCATCGTGCTAAAAATAGAACCGATGCAAACGATTGTATAGCGTGAAAATGAGTTTCATGAAAATTTTCAGAAGTCATATTTTTTTATATTCGCGTCTTATATGTACTTTTTTATGCAAAAATATTGTCAATTTTATTGTTATTACCATGTTTTTTAATATTAATCTAAAGATATGTTAAATTTATTATGTGTAAGTAACGTTTTATAATTTACACATACTTCTGATATATTATCTGGGATATTGGTATTTATGAAATTTACTATTTATCTAGATCTAAACTATTACAAATAATTCAAAATAACTTCATGTATGTAATTTCAAATACCTGATTGATCATAGTTATTTTATATTAATTTAAAGAATTAATGGGCACAAAAAGTATTTAAAATGTATTGTTTTGAGTATAAAGACACATATTAATTAATTCTGGATAGAAATGAACAAGTTTGATAAATTATTAATTTGGTAAAATATTTGACATTCCTACAACATTTTATATACATGTTTCATCAAAGAATGGTCAGAGTAGAAAGACCTATAGAAGAAACTGTTGAAAGTGGAGAATAAAATTTTTATTCATAGGAGTTCGCCTGCAATGGGACAGTAATCGAGCACCCGGAGTACGGGGAGGTGTTGCAGCTGCAGGGGGACCAGCGAGAAAATATATGCCAGTGGCTAACAAAGTCAGGTCTGGCTAAACCTGACCAACTCAAAGTCCATGGTTTTTAACCAACAAACACCCATGCCACTATCTAAGAACACACCACCATCATCAACACCTTATCATCTTAAATTATCTGTATCAGTCACTAATACTTGTTGATATTTCGTGAGATATCCTATTATATACACATATATATTTCAATAAAAAATATATAACAGTAACGATATAGGCACAATATTCTAATCAGACATTTGTAAGCTTGTAGGAAGCGATATTTTACAGCCTTATGTTAGATAATCCACTAAACTCATCACATTTAAAGTAGTAGCGATAATTAACTTAGTAATTTGAGAAAATACATATACAAGGGATAGATACAAATAGCAACGGATGGCTCTTCTTTCTGGAATTAGGTAGTATGTATCTCGGCGCTATAGATGTATTCAGAGAGAGGTAAAAAAAGAATTGTTTTAGGCTGCAGATTGGCTTACTGTGTGTAATGATGAATGCTTTGTTTTTTTATACACTAAGGGTAACAAACATGATTTTATATTGTCATCTCAAAGTTTTGTGCCTTTGATTCCGCATTGATTGTATTATTTATTGAAATGATCATCTTTTATTGTAACAGATTTTGTAGGGAGAATTGCCAATTTTTTCCTTTTTAATACAGTATTGACAACGTGAGATCAATTTTTTTCAATAATAATGTGGCTGTTCTAAATAAATAAATGGTAATTCACCAATTATGCGACTTTATGATCTATTTCCTCACCTTCTCCAAATAGATATTACACGACTGAATAAAACAATAAATATCGAATAAATTGATAGAAATTGTAAATTTGTATATTAAGTGAAATTTGCGAAATACTAAGGTTCTTAAGTATTGTAAATATGTTGTTAATGGTAATTTCTCATACTCGTTTATTTTGCAATTTCATGCGAGAAAAGAACGGAGTATCAATGTTTAGATCAGATTTATATTGAAAATGTTTACTACACAAAATAATCAAACGAATCCGGGCATCTATTTCATAACGTTATATGTTCTGTAGTATAAATGATTAAATGTTTTGTCGGGAGTGACATATGCAAACGCAGTTTCATTCATACTTGGTGTGCGTGTGTGTAAACTTTCACTCACACAGTTATATTCATCACTTCTATATACACATTCCACGTTTATGTACATACCCATGTTTCACGTTAGAATTGATTTAATGTTTTTATATTTGTATAACGTTTGCAAGTAATAACAGAAGTTATCAGAATTGTAGGATAGGATAAAGTATAGTATAATGTAAGTTGCATTCCTCTTTATTACGCTCAGCAAAATGAATAATAATTTTTAAAGATCTGGAAACCTTTAAATTTAGCGGGTTCCAATCGTGCGGTTTAACCGCTAGATGTCGCTACTGTTGGGCTACATACTCCGACCCATAATGCACTGAGCTACGGCATGTGCCTTTCTGTGTCGGCCATTTTGTAGTTTCCTTGAGAAATTGTGTTGAGTTGATTCATCTTCTCGGTAAGAATTTTATAAAATTCTAAAACGGCGCGAATCACATTGATCCAAATGATGTAGAGGATTGAGGGCAGATGCTTATGGCTAACTATTCATAGCTTGAGAACGAGGAATAAGGTTGCGTTTTTTGCGCACAACCGTGTGCGCTCACGGTACTTACACCCGAAGAACGAGCCAGTAAACGAAGCTGCCGAGAACACCTATTGATAAAGGCACATGGAATCCGGGATTGTTTCGGGATGAATGGTGATTTCGGTAACGATATACGATACGCATAAGTGTACTGTCCAAGTGGTTGTCACCATATCTGCGTGCGTGAACGTGTTGGCCCGGCCAACGTCTCGCTCTATATTTGGCTAATCGCATCCAACATATTGCATATCTTGCCTTTTCAAAATTTTTACTTTTCATGCTGTAACCTTTCCCAAAGAACTATATCAGAAGGATACAATGTGACGTTTAAGTGTGAATGCTTGACGATTACACATTGATTCTGAACGAGAGCAAATCTTAGCATGTGGCACGGTTTGTACGATCAACATTCAGTTTTGACTTTAATCAGAGTCAGTGGAACAATTTCAATTTCCATTATGATTTTGATGCCTGAAATCTTGTATTGTACATCCCTCGTTTGGATTTAAAAAATAACTGTTCGAAAACTGTCGTTCTAGAAAATCGTGAAAAAAAATTTCGAACCTTTCATTTTCACGTTTATTGTTCCTTCATAGTTGATAGGGATATAATGTAAGTTTGTATAATTTGAATACGCGTACATATATGCATTTGAGCACGCACACACGCCCGCTTGTCCGCTCGCGCGCGCGCGCGCGCGCACACACATACACACACACACGCACATACGGATACATACACACGTTGTGATTCGCATTAGGTGCTATTGAACATGAGTGCGCGCGCGCATTGTTCGTGACACACGACCATGTCAATTACGTATATGTACGAATGTGTTCATGATGTGTGTATACGTTATATATATAGGTATCACAAATGTATTACATCAGACTGGTATGTTGCATTACATACTGTTTATGACAATTCCAAAAAGTACCTTCATAATATGACTTTGTATATCAGAATTTCATTCATTTTATTATTTGTAATGATTTAACGTAGAAAAACATTTGTAGAATTCATACACTTAAGAAAAGTCATATCTTGTTCAATATACATACGTACTTAATAATATAAACGAATACTTTTCTTTAATTAATGTTTCATTAAGAAAGGGCAAGAAGTCATTATCCAAAATTATCGATTTCTTCTGTTAATTGTTAAATGTCCTTGCTATTAAAAGACTTAGATTATAGGAGTTATAAGAAAACATTTTTTTTAATTTCATTATAATCATACTGTAAATGATTACTTCATGTGACCCAACGTGGTTTAATGAATCTGTAGCTGTACATACATATTGTGAGAAACATCATTTTGTTTTCGATGTGTTATGATAAAATTTCATATAGAATCAAACCTTTTATAAGTAGAATACAGATCAGTAACTTATGTAGTTATACGTTACATGTTGTAACATGTAAGTATGACCTACAATGGATTACTGGTTGTATCAACGAAATATAGCATATGTACAAATTTTCATTTTATTCAATATACTTTCTATTTTTCATAGGGTACGTGTACATGAATGGGGACATTGGGAAGCTCCAACCAGGGGCGGTTTATCCAGCCACCCCTGAACCTTTGGGTTCAGTTGGGGGTGCAATT